CACTGAGAGCAGCACTTGGCCCCCAGCCCGGCAGCTCACCCACTCAAGGTGTGTGGGTGGACAGGGGGTGGGGGTGCAGCCTTGACTTTCCCTGGCCTGGGCAGAGGGCCCGGGGTCACATAGGCAAGGCCACACTGCCTCCTCCTTCAACACACACACCAATGTGGGCAGCAACCCACACCCATACCCTGCTGAGGGTGAGGAAGAGAGGAGGGGTGGAGGGTCTGGGAGAAAGCAGGAGAAGGCAGAGGAAAAAGACAGCTGGCAAGGGAGAGGCCACAGAGGGGAGGGGCGTCTGCTGCCTGCCCCTCAGGTCAGGGTGACTTATGAGTAAGACCTACCAGCCTCCCCAGTGCAGCCTGGCCAGCCCAGAGGGAGGAGGAAGCCGGGCAGGGTTTTGATGCCCAGAGGTCTGGGAGGCAGGGTGGACAAGCAAGGGCCTCCAGGGTCCAGGTGGCGAGGATGGGCCAGAGTGGGAGTGGCTGGAAGTGTCCCAGCACTGCCTGGAAAAGTTCCCTCTCTTCCCACCATGAAAAAGAGGAACTGACCAGACTCAGGGAGCACTAGGTTTTCAAGGACCCCCTAGGGTGACGCCAGCTACATGTGCGATGAGGCCCCCACCCCTGGGCACATGCTTACACAGTGGGGTTAGTGAGGAGTCAGAGGCTGGGTGGGCAGGTGGCCGGGCATGGCCATGTACTGCTGAGTCCCTGGGGGGAGGGGGACAGTCATCCTTGGTGGCCTCACATCTCGTAGCCTTTCCCCCACCCCTTGAAAGCTGCCAGTTGATCCAGGGAAGCTGAGGCCAGCAAAGGGCATGTTCAGGGTCCCCTGACAAGCCGGTAGTTGGATGAGTGAGGTCGGCCTTGGGGTCAGAGTGGGTGGCAGGCATCTCTGGGGAGGGGGGGCAGGCTATGGGAAGCCAGCATCAGCAATGGACCCCTGGCAAGTCTTGGGCCCACCCTGTGCCTCGGTTTCTCCATATGTAAGCAAAGAGAGTTCCAGCCAGCTCTCGGGGCTCCTGGGGACCCCGGGGCACAGGGTTGGCAAACATGTTCAGGACAGGGCAGGAGGCTCCTGCTCACACAGACATCCCCCCCACCTCCCACCCCCTCATCCCCCTACCACTCCCACCCCCACCCCCGGCAAGGACTCAGGCCAGCTCCAGGGACAGGGAGGCCTGGTAGGGTATGACCAGTCCCTGGTCCAGCATCCTGGGAGCCAGGGACAGGAAACTTAACCTAGGAAATCCCAGTTGCAGCATCTGATAAGGCCTGGCTTGGACTTCTGCCTGGACAAGCCTGGCCTGGGCTTCCAAGTATCATTGTCACCTTCCCCGTCAATGCCATTATCCAGGATTAGGAGGTCGGAGCACCCCTGGGGCCCAGCCAGAGCTCCCAGGGCAGGTGGCAGCCTCATCTCTCAGCTGCAAGGTGAGGCGGGAGCCGGGAGGGGGGGTGGGGGTGGGGGTGGGAGCAGAAGCCTACCACCCACTCAGGGCAGAGGCTCAGGCCAGGGGCCACACCCCAGGTCTGGGCAAAGGCCCCTAGGGCAGGCTGCTCCTCCCCCTGGGCCTCAGTGCCTTGGCTGCAAAATAGGATCTCTAGACCTCTGTCCCTGAGCCCTTGGCAAGTGAATGGCACAGACTACACAGGAGCCACAGGCTCGTCTGGGACTGACTGCTGAGTTGTGTGGCACGAGGCACCTCACCCCCGTCTGTAAGGTCATTCCAGCTGCCTCCTTACCCAGCGCCTTGGCTGTGCCTGACATTTTATGCCAAGTCTCCCACCCACTCTGTCTGGCTGGTATTGGTAGCCTCATTCTAGAGATGGAAAAAACTTAGGCTGTCCCCCTTCCTGGCTTCCTCCAAAGGACAGGCCCTGGATAGGCCCTGCTGATTACTGGTGGGCTTCGAGATCTGGGGGCAGTCACCTCCCTCCTCCCCTCCCAGGAGAAGCATTCAAGCAGGAGTGACCACAGCCTCCCCCAGACAGGAAGGGCAGTGCTCCCCCAACACCCCAGGCACATTCTCCACTGCTGGGCCTTTGCACACGCTCCTCTCTCTGCCCTGGGATGCTCTTTGCCCCAGAGTCACAGGACTTGCTGTCTGCCCCCAGGCCTCCACTCAGCCCTGCCCTGCCCCACACTCAGATCAGAAATGCTCAACACCCTCTGGCCTTCTAAGTTCTTTCCTATCTGCCCTCCGCCCCCGTCCCCAGCACGAACCCCCCACGGGCCTAACTGGGCCAGGTGTCCAGCCGGTGCTCAGCCAGGGCTAGGGCTTTCGGAGCCGGGAAGGTGTCATGAGAGGGAGGAGACTGACTCCCGGTGGGGCAGGCCACTCCCCTACGATTCCCATTTTATAGATGAAAAAACGCAGGCCCAGAGAGGAGCAGACTCAAGGCGACACAGCAAGAGACATGCCAGCCCGAGCGCTTAGGATCCCTGCAGACTCTCCCCTCACCCCTCACTTACACACCTCTTGTGAT